GGGGCCTGGGCGACAGATGGGCGTGGGGTGTCTCTGTCGAGGCTGGAGGAAGGGCCGCCCGTGGGTCGGGGCACCCGACGGCAGCTCTGGCCTGGGCGCATCTCGCTGTCGCCTTCTTTCAGCGAGCCGGCACGGAGCGGCGGTGTCAAGGGAACAGAGGCCTCTGCCGAGGGGCGGAGTGGGTGGACAGGGAGCGTACTGCTTCCAGAAGTGCATGCGTGCACATTTAGTGTGTGGTCGTGCGTGAGAAGCACAGGGCGACGTGACGCTCTTCGAGCGACTTGGGTCGTGGGGTCCTCCCTCGGTGAGGGGACATCATTGCATACGTGCCCGGACGCGAACACCTGATTCGCGTGTGTTGCTTGTAGGAGAAATCTCAGGCGGACTGTGTTTAAGTCGACTTTCTCAGCGTGATTTATTTCTATTAGTTGTTTGGTACGATTATCACCAGTTACTAATAGGTAATCATCGGTTGCAAATGACATCAAAGTTCGTCAAAGTAGCTGATTAACCTGTGTGTTGCTTTGCCCATGGGTTTTCTGCTTCCCCGACGCTGGTTTCTTGCCTTGGTAAGCCTGACTCTTGTATTGTGGCAGCTGAATATGAGGTTCGCTCGTCCTCAAGATTAAAGCTTCACTGCGTGTCTCGTAAAGGCGTTATGTAAGCCTGCCTGTTGTTTGCCTTGGAATGTTAAGGCAGCCCCTTTTTAGGGTTTAAAGTATAACACACAGAAAAGCTCAAATTCTTCCGTCATTTGCTTTGTCATCTGTTTTTCCAGGCATTCTGCAACATTTCTACATGAATGAATTATTCTGAAATCAAAGGGTGAGAAAATGTGCCAGATACACATGACAGAAATACTGTGGAATGAAGGGCTCTAGAGCTGTTAACTCAGGCAGCAAGTGTTGGGTTTCTGTTACAGGTGGTTAAATTTCTGGTTAGAAGCATTTCTTATCAAAGCCTAATGTTTGTGTCCATTTGTGTTGACAGAAAACTGAGTTATAGTATTTTGTTTGGTTTATGAAACTAGACCCTGGGCTTGTTTATTCTTTTTTATGTGTACACCATTAGTCAACAAACTAATGTCTGTCTATACTACCTTAGAAGTGTTTCTTCTTGTGGAAGAGGAACAAGGGTTGTTACAGAAAAGTGGGTCTTTCTTAATTTTTTTAAAATTTTTTTTGAGTGGGAGTCTCACTCAGTTGCCCAGGCTGGAGAACAATGGCATGCTCACGGCCACTGCAGCCTCAACCTGCTGGGCTCAGGCAATCCTTCTGCCTCAGCTTTCCAAGTAACTGGAACCACAGACACGCACCACCACACCCGGCTAACTTTTTGATTTATTGTAGAGACAAGGTCTCGGCAAGTTGCCCAGGCTATTCTTGAACTCCTGGGCTCCTGCAGTATTCTCACCTCGGCCTCCCAAAGTGCTGGGATTACAGGCATGAGCCACCGCGCCCAGCCTAGGACAGCTTTTTCTTTTTCTTTTTTTTACTTTAAATTTTTTTATTTTAAAGATGTGGGGTACAATACAGGGTTAGATATACAAATCTTCATTATGCAGGTACCCTTTCAGATGAGGTGTGCCCCCCACTCTCCAGGCAGATTCCCACTCCCATTACTGCCAATCCCACATCCCTCCTCCCCCCGTCCCCCAAAGCAGTTTCCTGCTACATCCAATCTTTTTCTTATAGTATTATGATAATTGTACGAGGTCTGCTTATGAGTGAGAACATGTAATTCTCAGTTATTTGCTTCTGTGATAGATTGCTCAGTATTAAAGACTCTAAGTTCATCCAGGTTGCTATGAAGTTCATGATTTTGTCCTTCTTGATGACTGTGTAATATTCCATCGTGTACATGTACCACATTTTAAAAATTCAGTTCTCTTTCTTTTTTTTTTTTTTTTGAGTGGGAGTCTCACTGTGTTGCCCAGGCTGGAGTGCAGTGGCACACTCACAGCCACTGCAGTCTCGACCTGCTGGGCTCAGACAATCCTTCCGCCTCAGCCTTTCAAGTAGCTGGAACTACAGGTGCTTGCTACCATGCCCGACTAATTTTTGATTTGTTGTAGAGACGAGGTCTTGCCAAGTTGCCCAGGCTGGTCTTGAACCCATGGGCTCAGGCAATCCACTCACCTCAGCCTCAGTCCCCTTTCAGTGGGCCTCAGTCCTCTTTCAGTGGGCAGCACGGTTGGTTCCATGTTCTTGCTATTGTGAACAATGCTGCAATAAACATACTGTGTGAAGGCATCTTTTTCATAGAGTGATTTGAGTTCCTCTGGGTATATTCCCAGTAGGGGGATTGTGGGGTTGTATGGAAGGTCGATTTTTATGTCTTTTAGGAATTGTCACACTGTTTTCTACAGAGATTGTACTAGTGTAAACTTGTCCAACAGTGTAAAAGTGTTCCCTTTTCGTGGCATCCTCTCCAGCATCTGTTGTTTTTTGAGTATTGGTGATGGCCATCCTGACTAGAGTTAGGCGATATCTCACTGCAGTTTTAATTTGCATTTCTTTGATGGCTAGTGAGGCTGAGCATTTTTTCTTGTATCTGGTGACTGCTGTAGGACAGCTTTTTCTTTAGAACATTTTGAATGTGTTACATATGCAAATAGATTCTTAGACAGTCACAATGCATATTAGCATATAAAAGACTGTGAGAAATGTAGCAAAGGAAACTGACTTTGTTTAATCCAGTTGTTTTGATATAGGAAGAACAAACTCAGTTTCTCCTACTTTCTCTCAACACAAAATGCTTCTGTGACCCCAGAAAGGTTTCTCCCCACCAGCAGGAAATTGTGCAGCAGATTTGTCAGCAGACAACCAGCTGGGCATCCTCTAATTCAGTCCAGTTCTAACACTGTTTACCTGGTGACAGCATCAGATCCCACAGGTTGAGGGCTCAGTCCCACAAGTCTGCTCCCACTTCTGATGCCAATCACATGCCCCAAGTTGTTCTACCTGTGCTTCTGACTGACTGTCTGTAAATCAGGGTACCATGACTTTGGTTCAGTTATTTGCTAGAGTGGCTCACAGAACTCAGGGCAACGCTTTACTGGTTTATATAAAGGATATTACACAGGACACAGATGAAGAGCCAGATGAAAGAGATGCATGGGCACGGCATGGAAGAAGGGGTACAGAGGAGCCTCGAAGCCTCCATGTGTTCTGCTCTCCAGCAGCTCTCCAAACTTGTCCTTCTGGATTTAGGGCCTACTCAGTAGGCATGATTGATTACCTCATTGGCTGTTAGAAGTCAACTCAACCTTTAGCCCACTTCCTCTCCTAGGAGTTTGGTTTTTCTTGTGACTAGCCCCCCCGTTCTGAGGCTCTCTGGGCCTGCCCCCACTAGTCATCTTACTAGCTTACAAAAGACACTCTTCGCCGGGCTCGGTGGCTCAGCCTGTAATCCCAGCGCTTTGGGAGGCCGAGGTGAGTGAATTGCCTGGGCCACTTGGCGAGACCTCATCTCTACAATCAATCAAAAAAAATTAACCGGACGTGGTAGCGCGTGCCTGTAGTTCCGGCTGCTTGGAAGGCTGAAGTGGAAAGACCACCGGAGCCCAGCAGGTCGAGGCTGCGGTGGCCCGGAGTGTGCCAGTGCACTCCAGTCTGGAAGACGGAGTGAGACTCCAACTCAAAAAAAAGGTTTTAGGAGCTGAATGTCAGGAAATGAAGACTGAAACAAGACATATATATATATTTTATTATAAATCCCATAATATCACCCCAGTACTTGCCAAAAGTATCCCTTCTCCTGGAGCATAAATGGAACATCATAGTTCACAGAATGTTTTTGCGTGTATTATCTGATGTCACCATCCTAGTTCTATGTGAAAACCTAGAAATCACTATTTTTACAGCTAAGGAAACGCAATCGTTACTTAAGCAATTAACTAAAAGAGAAATAGAAGTATCCCCCTATCTTCTGACTTCCAGTTTAAATTGTAAACTCCACTCTCTGCTTTTTTATTTCATAAGAACCTTAAGTCACATACTTCCAACACATGTTCTCTTAGGGAAATTACATACATTTTCTCATGGTTTTAACTGTTTCTTACATGTTGAGGCCTAGCAAAGAGGCTGTGGTCGCTGGAGTGTAGAGCAAGGGAAAGGGAGTAAAGTAAGAAAAGTAAGGGAGACTTCATTGTACAGGGCCCTGTATGCCATTTTAATACTTTAGATTATACTCGGAAATCTCATAGCTGATGACGTTTATTTTCTCTTTAAGGTGGTGAATACTTATTCTGCTAAGAAGCAGTAAAGTACTTCGTGAGTAAAAAGCATGCCTCCCAAGTTCAAGCGCCACCTAAATGACGATGACGTCACTGGCTCTGTGAAAAGTGAAAGGGTAAGTTCAGAATCTAAAACTTTAAAAAAGAAAGTTTCATACTCACCTAGCTGGGTTTGGAAGTCCTGGTCCAGACCCCAGAAAGGTTTCTCCCCACCAGCAGGAAATTGTGCAGCAGATTTGTCAGCAGACACCAGCTAGGCGTCCTCTAATTCAGTCCAGTTCTAACACTGTTTACCTGGTGATAGCATCAGATCCCACAGGTTGAGGGCTCAGTCCCACAAGACTGCTCCCACTTCTGATGCCAATCACATGCCCCAAAAGGTGATTTTCCCAGGGCTAGGCTTATCCATCACACTCCAGATGTGCTGACTCCTGTGATTTTCCCAAATGTGGGAAGCTCATAGCTTATGGTAGTAGGGAACTGCGTTCGCACTCTCCCCTTAAAATAAATAAGAAAGATTCAAAATATATTTTCATTTCCTTTGTAAATAATATTTAAAAATCTAATGTTTATGACTACTATATATTCTAATCCTACTTGTTTTCCTCAAACAATATATTTTAAGCAATATATTTTAAACATATTAAAAGTTTGTGTCACTCGGATTGGTGACTCAGCTGAATTCTACTTCCATTATTGATCAAATCATTATTCTCACTGCTTCTTCTAGTTTTTCAAAGGGAGTTTTATACAAATATACAATATCTGAAGACAAATGTATTAGGAATTCAGAATTTTTCAGATTTTAGAAAGGTAGTTAAGAGCATATTATATAACGTCCTTTTTGGGGTCTGGACCAGCACTTCCAAATATATTAATATTTCTCAGTTAAATGTAGGATTATCTAGCTAAATGTATAAATAAAGTATATAAATAAATTAGCTTGTATCAATTCAGGTCAGGTTTTCCTCAAAAACCTTTTGATTTTCAGAATTTTATGATTTTGGAATTGCAAGTAAAGGATTCTGGACCTGCAATCATCTCTGGTAGTCCAGAGTATCTTTTACATAATGCTTTGATTTCTAGTTTATTCCAGAACATTCTATACAAATGTGTATAAATCCAGAAATTATACAGCATTTTGGAAGACAGCAGTTAATTTGAATGTTGTAGTAAGTTATTTTTAGAATTAGTACTCAATCCATGTTTATTGAGGGAAGGAATTAGTGTTTTTTTTAATCTGGCAACCTGAAGCCCTCTCTCACTTCCTTCTTGCCATTCTTCCATTTTTTAATTTATTCAACAAATATTTATTGGCCACCTACTGTGTGCTAGGCACTGTGCTAAATACTGGAGTGCATGCTCCCTACTCTTGCAAAGCTTTTCGTCTCCTCCACTTTGTTTTCCACACTCCCTTTTGCACAACCTCAGAACTTAATACTATCCACCCTGCCCACCCTGTTATGATTCAGCAGTATCTTAATACAACACAGGAAACATTTGTCTTCATTCTATCCTAAGTCTTTCTACAGTTTTTAAAAATTTGATGATGAAAAGAATTCACCAATAGACTAATTGTTAGTAAACTTTTAAAAGAAGTTTTATATGTATACTTAAAAATATAAAATATGCAGTCTCAATAAGTGCTACCACTGAGACTAACGGCATCACTTTCTGTTTACATTGTTGGTTGATTACTACCGCAATTTATTGTAAAAATAGAATGTTAGGCACCAGAACTGAACAAAATTGACTTTAAATGGAGATCTTCTTTTTGATGTTAATCATATTATGAAGTTTATAACTGATTGATTTCAATAATCTATAAGTAACTTGTAAAAACTTAAAAGTTTTGTCCCCCTTTCCTATTATACTTTTTTTTGGTAACAGCTTTATTGAGCTATAGATCACATATCATATAATTCATACCATTTAAATTGTACAACTCAGTGGGTTTTCGTATATTCACAGGATTGTGCAACCATCACTGCAGTCAATTTTAAGGATATTTTCATTATCCTTGAAAAAAACCACACCCTTTAGCAGTCTTCTCCCTTCTTCCTCATCCCCTCTGCCCTAGGCAACTGTAAACCGATAGATTTGTCTATTCCTGACATTTTATAAATGAATCATATAATCTGTAGCCTTTTGTGACTGACTTCTTTGACTTAATGTCTTCGAGATTCAATATTGTAGTATGTATCAGTTTCCTTTCTATTGCTGAATAATATTTTATTGTGTCAATATACCACATTTTATTTATCCATTCATCTGTTGGTAGACCTTTTTTTTCCTGCTTTTTGTCTATTACGAGTACTGCTGCTATGAATGTTAGAGTGCATGTTTTTGTTTGAACATGTTTTCGTTTATCTTGGGCATATACCCAGAGGTAGAATTGCTGGGTATTATAGTAACTCTACATTAAACCTTTCAAGGAGCTGCCAAACTGTTTTCCGAAGTGGCTACATAGTTTTTACATTTCCATCAGCAATATATGTGAGTTCCAATCCCTCCACATCCTCACCAACAGTTATTATCTGCCTAGTGTTGCATTATACTTTTTTGACATGATATCCTTAGTACTCAATGTTTGTTCAATGTACATGTAAAAAGTCATTGATTTTCATGTATGTTTCTTGGTATACACGCATAATAAACACGTGATGAAATCTTTGTATTGCCATCCTCTAAACCAAATAAACATCATAAATATAATGATTGTTACTTAGCAGCTAGAATATCACTCAATAAATGTTTATTGAAGGAGTTAATTAATGAATTTCCCTGAATATTATTGATTTTTAACATCTTTTCATGTATTCATTGGACATTTTTTCTATTGGGAATTTTTCCCATCCTTTGACTGTCTGTAATGTCTCTTTTTCTAACTGGTTTGCCAAAGGTCTTTATATAATATAGACACCAGATCTTTTGTTTGAAGGTATGTTGTAGATTTTTTTTACCATTCTGTTACTTGTTTTTTAATATCTTGTGTTCTTCAAATTTCACATTTTTATGTAATCACTCAGATTCAGGCCTTCCTTGAGGAAAATAAAAAAAGTAAATTTTTTATGTAATTAACTCCATTAATCTTTTTCTTTCAGACTTCTGAGGTTATGTGTTCTTTCTCATCTTTAGAGTTAAACACTTATCTAAGGTCACATTTTCCTTTAAATACTACTGTGACCATGCCCTAGAGATTTTGATCTATAGTGTTCTAGTGTTTATTCGTTTCTAAATAGTCTGTTCAACTTCCATTTACTTTTTAACACAAGAGTTCACTAGAAGAGTGTTTTCGCTTTGGAGATCAGACAAGACCCAGTGCATTCAGGGTGGTATGGGTGTAGACAGAAGAGTGTTTTAAAATTTCCTTTTGTTATTTGTTTTAATTTCCTTTGAATTATGGCCAGAGAATGTGGCTTGTGCCGTTTTTATTTTTTGGAGGTTATTAAATTTCCTTTGTGGCTTATCCATATTATGTATATTTGAAAATAAAATTTGCTGTTTAGTTTCAAAATTATAGTTTTTTTGGTCTTTGGTTTCTACATCTCTGAAGGATATGGTAAATCCTCCTTATGATTTTTAATGTATCCATTTGTTTTTTAAATTTAAACAGCTTTTATGTATTTTTAAGCTGTGTCATTAGGTATATAAAATTCATTGCTATTAAATCTTCTTGGTGGATTGTGTATTTTATTATTGTAAAATCTTATTTGATGTTTAATGCTTTGTCCTAAAATTCTTCTTTATATTCCTAACTCTAACTTTCTTTTTGTTATAATTTACTGATGTAGCTTTTCTACTTCCCTTTTTTCCATCCTTTATATGACATTTGCTCGTTGTTATTACTGTTTTCACATGACTTTAGTTTGTGTTGATATTTGTTTTAGGTTAATTTCTTTTTTTTTTTTTTTGAGTTGGAGTCTCACTCTGTTGCCCAGACTGGAGTGCAGTGGCACGCTCCCGACCACTGCAGCCTCAACCTGCTGAGCTCCGGCGATCCTTCCACCTCAGCTTTCCAAGAGCTGGAACTACAGGCACACGCTACCACGCTTGGCTAATTTTTTTTTGATTTATTGTACAGATGAGATCTCGCCAAGTTGCCCAGGCAGGTCTTGAACTCGTGGGCTCAGGCAATCCACTCACCTTAGCCTCCCAAAGCGTGGGATTACAAGCTGAGCCACTGAGCCCAACTGGTTAATTTCTTTTAAACGGATATTGGCTGGAACTTTTTTAACTTAATCACGTATAGTTTTTTGTTTTGAAATAGAGACTTTCAAACCATTCACATTTATTGCCGGCAATGAATGCTTTTCACCCTGATCTTTGACTGGCTGCTGATTGTTACTTGGATCTTGGCTTACATTTAACCTCTTCAGAGTGTTTTTTTGGATGTTGTTTTTTTTTATGACAGCAGGGATTTTTTAAGACAGCTTAATCTCATGTCATCACCCTGTCACTTTCTGTCCCGTCACTGTTTTAGTTCTAATTTAATTTAACTAATTTAATTAATAGCATTTGTCACAATGTCATTTTTCTGGGAGAACTCAGACACTTTTGTTCACAGCTGGGACTTGGTACTTAGAAACACATAGAAGATGCTTGGAAATACATGCCAAATGAATCTTGAATATGTCCTTTCAGTTTTTTACTCTAGACTATATATTAATGATTCTGCATAATGATATTTGTATTTCTTCTCTTTTCCTCCTTTTCCCTTTTGCTAGATTGATCATCTTTCCTCATCTCCCTCCTTGCCCCAGAGCCATTTGGTAGTTTGGAAATTTTACTCCCTTTCTTCCTCCTTCCCTCTTTGTCTTTTGTTGCTAACTTTATGTCATCTTGGTAATTTTGAATGTGTTCTCTGACGACATACCAGGAATGGCGTTCCTTCCTTTATAGCCCCATTCCCCTCCTTTGTTCCATCAAGATGAGCATGTTGCCATGCCTTCACAGCCTTCCCTCTCCCACTCCCAGCCTCTGGGTTTTGTTAGAGGACTTTGAGACACAGTTTTTTTTACCTTAAAGTTCTGGTGACATCTTCCTCCATCTTCAAAACCATAGTGCACTATCTTCAAGCCTCTCTTGCTTTGTCACCCGCCCTAAGATATCTCATTATGGATATGCAAATATTCTAGAATCTGAAATTTTTTTTTTTTCTTTTGAGTTGAAGTCTCACTCTGTCGCCCAGACTGGAGTGCAGTGGCTGCTCCCGGCCACCGCAGCCTCGACCTGCTGGGCTCTGGTGATCCTTCCGCCTCAGCCTTCCAAGTAGCTGGAACTACAGGCGTGCGCTACCATGCCTGGCTGATTTTTGATTTATTGTAGAGATGAGGTCTTGCCAAGTTGCCCAGGTGGGTCTCAAACCCGCAGGCTCAGGCAATCACCTCAGCCTCCCAAAGGCACGGGATTACAGGCTGAGCCACCGAGCCCGGCTTTAGAATCTGAAATTTAAAATACTTCTGGTTCCAAGCATTTCAGATAGGAGATTCTCAACCTGTGTACTGTTGGAGTTCTTGTTTGTCTGAAAGGTCTGGGTTTTGGTTTTTAGCCTCCTTTTGGGACTTTATACTTCCCCTTTAGGGAGAGGAGGAGACACCCTTATTTTATCATTGTATCTCAGAATGTGAAAATATAAAGTTGCTTTGGTTTGGAAGATCAGCTTTGTATAAAGGCCTGTTTGTCTGAGTTGCTGAAAAGTAGCCCACGCCTGTTACTGGGCCCTTGTCCCTCAGCTCCAGACCATCCCTCTATGCTCTTTTGCCTCTGCACTTCACACCTTCACTTGTTCTCTGCCACTTGGCTAAGTGAGTTCTGTCGTTAGAGGAGGAGGAGGGTGGGAGGACGGACGGACTTGCTTTTCCCTGACTGCCTCCACTGCCTCACTCCCACACCAGCTTCAGTGACCTTTCTACCTTTTGATCAGTCATAGGATCCAGAGTTGTGAGCATTTTCTTTGGAAAGTCTGCAAATGTTTTTCCACGTCTTATAGCCTCCAGTGAAGGACATGTAAGTGCTTTTCCCTCTTTATGGACACTTGGAGTTAAGGCATTTCAACCAGTATAGAACTTATTTCATTACTCTTCCCTTACTTTTTATAAGCCTTCTGAATGTGGAAACTCAAGTCTCTTTCTTTTTTGGCAGAGAAATCTTTTGGAAGATGATTCAGATGAAGAAGAGGACTTTTTTCTGTAAGTTGTTTTTTTTTACAACTTCATTGGGGTGTAACTGACATACAAAGTACACAATGTAAGAGTTTTGACTTGTATATAGTAGTCCCCCTTATTCATGGGGGATATGGTCCACAACCCCCAGTGGATGCCTGAAATCACAGAGAGTAGTGAACCATATATGTATACACACACACACTATGTTTTTTCCTATATTTACATACCTATGATAAACTTGAATTTATAAATTAGACACAGTAAAAGATTAATGACAGTACTGATAAAAGGAACAATCATACCAACATACTATAATAAAAGTTATATGAATGTGGTCTCTCAAAATATCCTTCTTGTGAGGCTGTGCGATAATGCATGCCGATGTGATGAGATGACGTGAGGTGAGTGAGGGAGGCACTGTGGTGTGACGTTAGGTACTGTTGACCTGATGATACTTCAGGAGGAGGGTCATCTGCTTGGGTGATCCTGGATCGTGGCACCATGGTGATGTCAGTGTTTGGATGTCAGTCACAGATTATATCAGTGACTCATGGGTGGATAGCGTATACAGCATGGATGTGTTGGACAAAAAGATGATTCACATCCCAGGCGGGACAGAGTGGGCAACACAAGATTACTAAGAACAGTGCACAACTTGAAACTTATGAATTATTTATTTCTGTAATTTTTCATTTAATATTTTTGGACCTGCCAGTAAGCTGCAGGCAACTGAAACTATGGAATTATGGGAAGAAAAACCATGGATAAGCGGGGACTACTGTGCTATACACCTGTGAAATCATCTCCAAATTCAAATAATGAACACAGCTATCACCCCACAGCTTTCCTCACAACCCTTGGTAGCTGTTGCTCTCCCAGTCCCTAGGCAACCAATGAGCTGCTTCTCTCACTGTAGTTTGTATTTTCAGAAATTTTATATAAATGAAATCATATAGTATATCCCCCCCTCCTTTTTTAAACTGACTTTTTTTCACTCAGCATGGCTATTTGGGGATTCATCCATGTGTCAGTAGTTTGAGTTATTAAAATTTCTGAGTAGTATTCCATTGTATGAATGTACTGTAATTGTTTTATGCATTCGTTTCTGTATGGATATTTGGACTAGTTCTAGTTTTTGGCTTTTACAAATAAAGCTTCCGTATGTATTTGTGTACAGGTTTTTGTGTGGACACACATTTTATTTTCTAGGAATGGAATGGCTGGTGTAAGTTTACAACAGTAATTATACCATTTTATATTCTCACCAGTAGCGTATGAAAGTTCCAGTTACTCCCTCTTCTCACCAAGACTACATGTATGGCGAGTCTTTTTCCTTGTAGTCGTTCTCATGAGTGTGTAGTGTACCTCACTGTGGTTTTAATTTGCATTTCCCTAATGAAATAGGATGTTGAACATCCTTGAGTGTGCTTCCTTTCCATCCTCATACCTTCTTTGGTGAAGCATTTGTTCCAGTTTTTTGCCCATTTTAAAATTTAGGCTGAGCACAGTAGGTCATGCCTATAATTTCAGAACTTTGGGAGGCTGGGATAGGAGGACTGCTTGAGTTCAAGACCAGCCAGGGCAACACAATAAGACCTTGATGCAAAAAAAAAAAAAAAAAAAAGTTAAAAAGTGTGTCTTCTTTTTAAGTTGTAAGAGTTGTTTTTTTTGTTTTGTTTTGTTTTGAGTTGGAGTCTCACTCTGTCACCCAGACTGGAGTGCAGTGGCCACTCCTGGCCGCCGCAGCCTCAACCTGCTGGGCTCTGGTGATCCTTCCGCCTCAGCCTTCCAAGTAGCTGGAACTACAGGTGCGTGCTACCACGCCCGGCTAATTTTTGATTTATTGTAGAGATGAGGTCTTACCAAGTTGCCCAGGCGGGTCTCGAGCCCATGGGCTCAGGCAGTCTACTCACCTCAGCCTCCCAAAGTGCTGGGATTACAGGCTGATCCACCTAGACCGGCCAAGAGTTTTTAAAAATATATTCAAGATACAAGTTATTTGTCAGACGTGTGTTTTGCAAATATTTTCTCCAAATCTGAAACTTAACCTCTTCTTCCTTATAACAGTATTTTTTAAGGTTCAAGTTTTGATTTTGATGAAATCAATTTATGGAAATTTTTTTCTATTGTTTTTTGGTATCATATTTAAGAAATTGTTTTCAAACTAAGATTTTCATCTATGTTTTCTCCTAGGAATTTTATGGTTTTGACTTTTCATTTAGGCCTTTCATCTATTTTAAGTTAATTGCTACATATTGTTGAGGTAACAAGGAAGAATTAGGAATAGGGACATGTGATCATTCAGTTGTTCCATCATCACTATAAAAAGATTATTCCTTCCCCCATTGAATTACCTTGGTATCTTGTCAAAATTAATTCACCTGGGCCGAGCTTGGTGGCTCAGTCTGTAATCCCAGCACTTTGGGAGACCAAGGCAAGTGAATTGCCTGAGCCTGTGGGTTCGAGACCCACTCGGGCAACTTGACGAGACCTCGTCTCCACAATAAATCAAAAAATTAGCCGGGTGTGGTAGCGCGCACCTGTAGTTCCGGCTACTTGAAAGGCTGAGGTGGAAGGATCGCCGGAGCCCAGCAGGTCGAGGCTGTGGTGGCCAGGAGCATGCCACTGCACTCCAGTCTGGGCAACAGAGTGAGACTCCAACTCAAAAAAAATAGTAATAATTAATTTACCTGATCCATCCTTTGCAATTAAGATTAAAAAGGGCTCTCATACATGTTTAGGTTTAGATTTATAAAATCAGGAAGGACAACATTGTTGTGGGGTTTTTCTCTGGGAATTGTAGAGGGATATGCTTGAGAGGAAACATTTATTCTTACTTTGTTAAAATGTTGTGACATAGTGTTCATGAAACAATGAACAAAAAGCTTACAGGATAGAAAGCAAATTTAATGACAGGAAATAGTATCATTTTTGGCAGGAATGTCAGGTAATGTGGGGAGATAATTTTCTGCAGATAATAAAATTGCCATAGAATCACAAAGCTATAATGCTACTTATGGTGAAAAGCCTTAGACTAGAGCAATTATTGCCTGTCAGAAAGGAACTCCATTATTGAAAAGGCCAGATGTTTGGGCAAATAACTAATTACCTGAATGTAAGTTAGATAATTTTTATCAGGAACGTTCTTTGAACCAATGATGTACTGCTAGAGGTTCCACTCCCAAATAATGCTGTACATCTTCCAAAGGGCCTGACAACTAAACTGGCACCATTTGAAATGCAATTCCAGGCCAGGCTTGAGTAAGGTTCTTACGGCTGTGATGCCAGCACCTTGGGAGGCTGAGGCAAGAGGACCACTTGAGGCCAGGAGTTAGAGACCAGCCTGGATAGCTTAGAGAGACCCCGTATCTGCAAAAATTACAGAAATTAGTTGGGTGTGGTGGCACTTGACTGTGGTCCCAGATACTTGACAGACCAAGGTAGGAGGAATGCTTGAGCCCAGGAGTTCAAGGCTGCAGTAAGCTATGATTGTATCACTGCACTCCAGCCTGGGTGACAAAGCAAGATCCTGTCTCTACAAAAAAAAAAGTAGAAAGTAAAAGGGCTGGGTGCAGTGGCTCACTCCTATAATCCCAGCACTTTGGGAGCCTGAGGTGAGAGCATTGCCTGAGCCCATGCGTTCGAGATCATCCTGGGCAACTGGCAAGACCTCATCTCTACAAAAATTAGCTGGGTGTGGTGGCGCGTGCCTGTAGTTCTAGCTACTTGGAAAACTGAGGCAGAAGGATCACCTGAGCTCAGCAGGTCGATGCTGCCATGGCCATGAGCGTGTCACTGCACTACAGCCTGGGCAACAGAGTGAGACTCCAACTCAAAAAAAAAAAAAAAAAACAGTAAAATAAAGTGCAGTTCCATACACTGTACTTTTGTCTTTGTGCTAAAAGGGAGACAAATCAAATAAAGTTCTTTAAACAATTTTTAAAAATTAATTTACATAGTAAATCATAGTAGCAGTATTTGCAATAGCCTAAAGGTGGAAACAACCCAAGTGCCCATCAACAGATGAATAGATAAACAAAATGTGTACTATACATAAATGGATTGTGATTCAGCTTTTAAGAGTTTAGAAGGAAATTCTGGCAATTGCTACATCGTAGATGAACCTTGAAGACATTATGTTAAGTGAAAGCCAGTCATAAAAGGAAAAATAATGCACAATTCCATATTAGGTACCTAGCATAGTCAGATTCATAGAGACACAAAGTAGAAAGGTGGTTGCCAGGAGCCAGGAATGGTAGCCCACACACCTGTAATTCCTTCTGCTTGAGAGGCTGAGGCGGCAGGATTGCTTGAGCCCAGGTGTTCAAGGCTACAGTGAGTAATAATCACACCACTGTACTCCAGCCTGAGCGACACAGTGAGACTCTGTCCCCACCCCCTAAAAAAAACAGAATAATTGTTGCCAGGGAATGGGTAGTGTTTAATGGGTACAGAGATCAGTTTTGCAAGATGAAAAAGTTTTGGAGATGGATAGTGGTGATGTTTGCAGCACTGACAACAGAAGGATCAGCCTGGGCAACAAAGTAAGACTCCGACTCGATAGATAGATAGATCGATAGATAGATAGATAGGCAGGCAGGCAGACAATAAATAAATAGATAGTTGAATGGATGGATGGACAGACATGTGCTTGCCTTTCATAGGAAGCTTTATAATACTTCTACAATCATGATTAAGCAAACCATGAGCTAAGAGTGGTGGGCTGCAGGCATCTGGTCATGAGTTTTGATGACCATTTCTCTACCTTCAGTGAGCTAAGAGGATGGGCTACAGGTGTCTGGTCATGAATTTTGATGACCATCTCTCCATCTTCCAAGGACCGCCTGAATAGTTATTGCCTAACTAGATTTGGTTTCTCTTAGAACATCATGTCTATGTTTTGGGTAATTCCTATTGTTTCTGTGATTCATTGCACTGGTAGATCCACATTCCAACCTGCAAAGTGGTCAGGTCTGGTTTGTCAAATGGAGGTCATGTACTGACAAGAAAGATGTCTAATGCTT